CTTCAATTTGTTACTTTGTCCTGTGAGTTAATTGCTTCATTCTCATATAAGCATTCCGTGTTCTACTTGGTACTGTTTTTTGTTGAACATGGTATTAATAGTATGGGGAACACATGATGTTCTTTCCCCTTGTGTTTGTAATCCTTTCAGAGTCCAGGCAAATCCACAATGTTAAACTTATTGTCTGTCAGCAGCTAGTTAGTGTCATGAACAAGGTCAGCCATTACACACAGATTTGCTACCCTGTTTTTCTAGGAATGAAATACATGCCTTATTTACTGCTTGTGTTCTGATGCAGTTTTTGTTGAGCCTTTTACTCTTGGAAGGAATTACCTTAACTAGAAGTCCTGTTGCAGTTTACAAAGGGGGGGGGGAAATAATCTGTTTATTCTCTTAAAATCTTTTGCTTTTCTTTATATGAAAACAGATGTAACAGATTAGTTAGCTGTTCCAGTCTGTCTCCTGCAAATGCACAGTTAATTATGCATAAAATAGAATTACTATATTTTTTCCCATTCTCACTGGTTTTGAATTTTATTTTCACCATTTTCTTAGGGCTCTTCTAAAGCAAAAATGCATTCTACCTGTAGGAATTACCGATTTTCTACTCAAACAATTAGCATTCTCTTTTTACACTTAATATAATTCCAAGTTAATTTTGTGCAAAAGGAAGTGTCACCTTTTCAGTGGGAGACTTTTCCCTTGCCCTGACAGCTTTGGTCTGATTGCCCTTCCTTTCCTCCTCTCTAAGGGATTGTCTGTTCTGTCAAGGTTTATTAAATCTTTTCAGATTAAATCGGAATGTAACAGTTTATCACAGCACCACTGTAGTCTTATGTTTGATTTTGGTTTTCTTTCTTAGTTATATTGACTATTGATCAAGTATAAAACTACTCCATATATCTGATTTTTAGTTTATAAAACCCATAAAAGTCTGAGTTCGGATTTGAATTTAGCTTCCAATAAAGTTGGACTCTTCTGCAGAGCTTTGTTTTTGTATCATCAGCTGCTATGTGCATGCTGAGTTTCATAAAGAGGGTTGTTGAAATAGTAGTTCATCACAACTGGAGACTTTTGGTACTTTCAGTTAATTTCTGCTTCCCAGAATATTTCAAAGCTACCAGAACAAAATGTGGTTTGATTCCAAACACAAACCATTTCTAGCAGGGTTGTTGTGTATTTGTTTTTGACCATGTCAGATTCTAATTACGTGCAACAAAAGGACTTTTATTTGCCCCTGAATACTCATGTTGCCTAATTTAAAAATTATTAATCAGTGTTGAATGCACAACATTATTAATTAGTAACACTACATACATGAATGTATGAAACACCTTAAAGATTAAAAGCTGTACAGAATACTTACACAAAGGAAAATCATTACAAATACATTATGTGGCTCTTTGCATGATGTTAAAATAAAATATGCAGAGGCATAAACTGCTGAATAGTGAATTAATTCTTAGTAGCCTTGTCTACTTGTATTTTCTGTGGCAGTTTTCCAGAATGTCCTTCTGTTTCTGAGCACCTACTTCAGTTTGTCATTAAGTTCTTGGTGCTGTGCAGTCCACTTAATAACTGCTAGAGTTCATGTGACTGAAACATACTTTTTAAGCCTTTTTCACCTTCACTGTCTCGTTAGCTCTTCAATAATGTGCTCAGTTTGAATATTCATTCCCTAGACCCCCATTTATTACCACCTGATAACTTACCAATAGTCAGTTGTCAATACTGGCTGTATTATCCATGTGAATGGTAGTAAAAACTAATTATTCCAGCACTGCCATACGTTGTCATAAATCTATTGCTAGAAATGCTGCTGTTCAAAAGAATGCTGTCACGTGTCTTTGATAATTTATATAATTTGCTATAGAAATTTTAAATACTTAACTAGTGATTACAAAGGCATGCATTTATGAAAAGGTAGGGGGTTTTTGCTTGTGTGAACAACTCAGTTATACTGAGAGAAGAAAACTGGCAGATGCGGTATGTTGCTGCATGAGTTATATACATGTGGTATGTGGAACAGCTAAAAGATAATCCTGTCCATGATTTCATGATAGTTAATTTTTTAATGCATGAAACTAGCAGCAAAAGATGTTCTATGGAAAAGAGAGCATCTGATTTTTTTTTTCCACTTAAGTTTAATTTCTGTGTTTAGTTGATAGTCCAAGTAATTCAGTATGGTGCTTGGAAGTTCGTGGTCATTCACTTTGCTAAAACATTAAAATCAAGGAGTTAGTAATTCTCATATCTAAAACAGTGCCCAGTTTTGTATATACTTAAAAGCAAAACTCTGCAGACTTGCTCATCTTCATTTGAAGTAGAAAAAAGTTCCTAGAATTTGGCTTTGAGTGAAAATTCTTTTTGTTATTAATCGTTAGTAATTTTTATAAAAGTATTTCGGAAATTATCCCCATTTGTCCAGGGATAGGTGTGTATGTATTCTTCTAGTAGTTGATAGCAGAACATCTGAAATATTAAAAAAAAAATTTTTAAGAGATACCTCAATAAAAAGACCAGTGGATCGATCAGCAAATCACACTTGTTTGTTTTCATCACTATCTTAGTAATATCACAAATAAAAAAGCTATGTGAATGTTTTTTATTAAGCTTTTGCAGTTTGGCCTCAGATAGTATCTACCAGTCCTTCCACATGAAGAATAATAGATATGCTATCAATTAACCGTATCTCCTTTGCTATTGTAAGCCTTCACCTCATCCTATATCCAGAAGGGTGCTTAAATTGTTAATGTCAGCTGACTTGCGCTGGATGCTTAGGGTTGCTATGTGGACTTAAGCTTTTCATTTTAGAATGAGCATCTTCGAAAATTCACCAAATTTTCTTTTCCAACATATGCCATGAAATTTTTTTTGTTCTTGGAGATGAAATATGCTAATTGGAAACTGTAGGTTTGAAGGTATGCATAATAGTGGAGAGATGGTATTAGGTTGTCCTTGAGATATGACAAAATAAAGGAATGTTAGCATTAGCAATGACAAAAGAGAATCCCTGATAAGCTTGGAGTGGGTGGGAGTATAAGATTTTTTTGTCTGATTTAGGAAGCAGCCTTCGTAAGCAAGCACCTGTTTCTTACTAGTCTCCTGAGAAACTTACCATAATTAATGCAATTAATTCAGTCTTCGTTTAATGTTAGCACTTTTAAATATAGACTATTGAAATAGACTGCCTTCCTATGTTGGCAGTGACATTATTTGCCTCAGCTATATTTTATTCCTCTTGGTGTGAAACAAGAATGAATAATGAAATCTTTATTATAATGGAGATCTGACTGCCTTGGTAGCGGTCTGTTCTTCATGTGTAACTTCTAGCTTGGTTTCAGGTAGGTAGTCAGCTTCGTCGGTCAGTTTAAGACTGCAGTTCTTAAGACGTGTGTGTTTGATTTTTAGGCACAGATAATGATCTGTAATTACAGTTCAGAAGATCTGTGGGGAGTCATAAGAGTTACCACAAATGAGAAAGGGATATGCTGGTAGTTCATTATTTAAGGATTAGGAAACGGCTATGATCTTTGTGGATTGGGAATCCTTCCCAGCTTGTAGAAGATACAGTAAGTTGTGGTAGAGTTTTGGTAGCTGACACTTTTGTAAAATGCATTTCAGAGTTCGGTCCCTGAAGGATGTTGGATATGTAGCAGGAAAAGAGGTTATAATGCAGTTAGATTGTTTGATCTTTTGGTTTATGTATGAAGTGTATGCCTTGTCCATTTATATTGAAGTTATTGACTCTGATACATTGATCAAAAATAAAGTGAACTTGTTTATGGTGTTGGTTCCAGACATTATTTAAGAACCTGGAATGAAACTATATCTAGTTTTATGTGATAGGTGAGGTCTATACATAAGCAGAATAAGTAAGCCCAGTTTGGGAATGTACATGCAACATAATTACTTTCTTTTTGAGGTATAACATGTTTCCTAATGGTTCTCTTCAAAATGTAGGTGCTTTGTAAGTAGTAGGTGAGGAAATGCATACTTGGGGAAATGTTTTTTTGTTAAGATACTTCAAGTGTGAGAGGTAGGTTTTTTTTCTCCCAGTCTTGGGAATAAAAAACTGAATTGCTTGCTCTTAAAGACTGGCATAGTTTGTCACAAAACATATTACTGAAAAACAAGACAAAGCACATTGGGCCTAAGTGAAGAGGTTTGTTGCTTTTGTGTTCATTTTTCCACATCAGTTGAACAGATGGTTGTTATTTTTTGAAGGAAGTAGGTCTTGTATACATGCTTGACTATAGTCATACTCTATAACATTGTGTATATATAATATGCTTCACTTTAGAAGAATTTATTTGCATCTCGTCTTAGGAAAGTTTGAGTACTTGTTCAGTTATGATACAGGTTATTCTTGTCATAAAAACTACACTGTTGCTTAAATTCAGCATTCATAGGAGAACAAGGAGATAGTAAAGTTACAAAGTGTTTCATTGTGTGGAACTACGCAAGTGTGGTATTTCCAAACCTGTCAGTTAAAAGTTCCAAGTCTTGTCATGCTGTCATCTATTCTTTGTGTATGTTTTGTATTAATTACTTTGCTCTTTGTAGCATTCTGTTCAAGTAAAAAATGACTTAAAATCTTCATAGAATTGCATTTCTGATGTTATATGTACATGTTTGTAGCTATTTTGCTTGTCATTGACTGTACTATAGACTACTGAGTTTATAAAATCACTGATAAAACCTGCCAACAGTTTTTTTTAAGACGTCTTCATGGCTGCATAAATACCTAATATAAATTCAGCTGGACTTTAGATGGAATGAACTGTAAAAGTACACATAATCAGGAATCATAGGAACATGGCTTCTGTTTGGAACAAACCTTTACAGACAACTAGTTGTAAATCTAATTGTAGCAGACAGGTCTGTAAACCTTTATCAAAGATGTTTCCATTATTTTTAGTAGGTATTTTTGAAATGTCCTTGTACCATGGACTTAGGCTTTACTGCAAATACCTAGCAAACCATACTCTTCCGTTTAAAGCAATAGGAGTTGGTCCAGAAAATTAATACTAGAACCTGCATCTCTTTTTTTTTCTCCCAAGTAGGAGTGGGAAGAGGGGAAGTTAACCGTTTCAGATTTAAATGTGGTCTTGAAAAAGTGTCATTGAACATCCAGGAAGTTATCGTATCATACTTCACCCCTCCCATTCTCAGACTACCCTTTTTCTGAGAATTTAAATATTTTACTGGTCTGTATGTGACTCTTGATTTTTTTTTTTTTTAATTTTTTAATTTTTATTTATTTTTTTATTAAGTTCAGTATCTTAATGTTCTTTGTGAAGTTTCTTTTCTGGATGTGTCATGATGCTTAGGATTTATCATAGATTGGCAGGCTGTGATTTCCAAATGCTTTAGAAATCCAGTTGTCTTTCCAGAAACATGTTGGCAGATCTTAATCTATCCTTGGCTTTATGAATGGAAAACGATAGAAAGCAAGTCTGCTTTTCACCTAAGCAGCTTTTGTGTAGACCTTTAAAATACCATTTTAGTAAAGCTGTTTCCATAATATTCTCCTTTTTTCCCAGCTGTTTTGTTTAGTCTGTATGCATGTAAGATGTGAGTAATCTTACTCTATTAAAGAAAGCAAAATGCTGATTAGAAGTTCTTGTGAATCAACAAGTTGTGGGGAAGGAGTCTTCCATATAAGTATTAAGTATGCATTCAGTCAATGCAAATTAGGAAGTTTCAATGGTAAGACAGACAAATTAGTGTACGTGAAGTCCTTGCTGCCTGGTAAGTACCCTCTCTGATGTGAATTCCAATACTAACCAATAACATACACCTCACAAAACTACCCATGAAGTTGATAGTTCACAGATACAAGCAGTCCTTGTAGAACTGTTGAGGGTGTATTAACAGTACACTGAACTCCTCATAGATTATAATTCTATTAAGGGTATATTTATTATCTGTACACTGAACTGATAGATTTTTCTCCGGAAGTATTCTTCTATTGCCATCTGTAGAAGTACTGTGTCAGGGTGATACAATGAAAATTTTAGCAGTGCTGAATATGCCATAGCTGTTTTCAGGAGCTTAGTTGCGTGCTTTTGGTCAATAAACATAGTAAATTCAATGAACAATTGCAGAAGACTGCTTGACAGTACGAGTATCTTATCTTCAAAATTATGCTCTTTCTGAATGAGCACATTAATCTGCATTTTAATAGAACATGTTCCCTGAATCTGGCAGAATGCTGAAAAGAGCAATGTTAATGTTTGAACCTTGAGATAGTGAGGAGGAAATTCCATTTTTACTGTGGTGTCTGAGATGATGTGTCATGTTGCAGTACTACTACCCTTTCCTAAAATTCTCACTACCTGTGAAGATGAGCTACAGAATAGTAGGTGAAAAGAATATGAATTCCCCCAGGAGGCAACCCATTGTGTTTGGTTTTTAGATTCTCATTTCTTTGTCGTCTTATCTGTGTGTTGTACAGATGTCAGGCATATTGCTGCTGTGTGTTTTGGGGCTTTTACTTATTTTTAAGGGAGAAGCTATGTTTTTTTGTTGCCAAGTTGTCTAGCAACAGTAGTAGTTCTGTTGATGGATATCAAGATACATTAAAAGTGTATATATTTTAAATCTTATGCTGAAAATTTTATTTTAAAAAGGCAAAAAAAAGTCTGAGAAGACCTATTGTTCATAATTCTTTGAGAAACCTAAGTATGTTTGATTAACAGATGGATTAAAGTGAAAGTGCTCAACTCTGCACCAAGCATTACTACATGAAAATGACTGGCTTATCACAGACAGCTCAGCAAGTAACAGTAGTAAACATGACTGCATAGCTCTTGAACTAAATTGTTTAAATTACTTCAGGGATGGTAGGTAGATATGTTGAATGAAACTCTTATTTCCCTTCATGAAACAAATCTTACTTCAATATCAATGTTAGTAATAATACTGTGTGAAACTTAGTCACTGAATTAAATATATGTAAATTTGGTAGCATCCTATTCTATTACACTCTCAGTCTATTATAATAATGAACAACTGATCTTAAGTTCTCATTTAAAAAAAAAAATCTTTGAATTAATATTCCTTCGAGCACAGGTGAAGCTTTCTAAAAAAACTCTCTAGAACGTATTCTTTTAAGGTACTAATATCCTTTTTCTTGTTAAGAAGTGAAAAATAAGAGGTTTTTTGAACATGTTTTTTACTGATGCATTTCTATTGTTTGCTTCCTTAACAGTGGACTTTAGTAGGACCTAATAAAATAGTGTTAACTTAAAGAATAACCATAGCTGAAACATATTTGAGTGAAATAACTGAATTTACTTTTGTATATAGTATAGAATATTTTTTAACTTTTGTTTTAAATGGAAATAAGCTGTAAATAATTGAGTGGGTGTTGGGATTTTGTTTTGTTTTTCTTGACTAAGTAGTTGGTATTACATTTTCACTACTGCTTGATTTTGTGTTTGTAGAGCCAGAATGAAGACTGGGGAGGTTTGTCTGAGGATATCTTATGATTAAGGATAATCTAGGGCATTAGCCCTTTTGACCCCCATCTAAATGATTGGTAACTACCAAGTTTACCATTTTGGTGGCATGGATTAAACGGGTGCTATGCAAAGACTGCTGCACGTGTAATTAAGTCCTTGCAAGAATAAACAGAAAATGGGTGATGGGCTTAACTTTCTGCAACACTTGCATGATGATCTTTGAAGAGTGCTTTGAGTGTTCCCTGTTATTTTCCTTTTTTGTACTAACCGCATCAACTTGAAGTGTCTGACTTCTACTAGCTTTCTTTGGTGTTGATAATTAAGTGGGATAATGCAAGTTAGAGAAATGGATACCAAAACTAATAACTAAACAGATGTTTGGCTTTGTTTACTTACAATCAACTCATGTAAATGTGTATTTACTGGAAAATGAGCTGTTTACATCTGCTGTGCAAAGAAAATGGGCCCTAAAAAGACTGGGTGCTGCTGCAATTGACTGTATATCAAGTGCCGGATGCTGCATGACAGAACAAAGCTTATTTGCATATATAGTGCATTGCAACATATTTTTGTTCAAAGCATAAGTGAATACATTGTGGCAGTCCTACTAATAAAGGTAAGATTTTATTTTACATAAGGCAAGTTTAAAACACACATGAAAATGATTTGCTGGAGAAAACTTAATTAGTCCGCTGCTTATTTGATACCATGATAAACAAGCAGTTCAGTAAACAAATTGGCTTTTGTAATGTGGAACTGCAGTAATGGATCTAATTTCATATGCAGCTCTATAAATATCAGGATTTAGTTTCAGAACAAAAGAAAATTATTAATAGACAAAAATATTTTTTAACATGTTCAATATCAAATTCAGTGTTGGTGTATGGATATTTTTACCATTTAAAAGTTACCTAGTATATGATATAGCTGTTGATCTTTGGGGAGTGGCGAGTAGCTAATAACCTGCTTGCCTATTATACCTCTGGACTTAGGGCAGCCAACAAGTCATTTGTTCAAAATAAAGTTTCTTACAAGTTTGGACGTATTCTAAAACAGCAATAAGAAAACCTAAATGCTCAAGCTTGATTTTTTTCCACAGGTTTTTTTTCCCCATGTTTATTGCTTTTTCTCTCCATGATAACAAGTTCATGTACAAAGAGTGTGATTCTTGTGGTGAGGTTAGTATTAATACTGCGACTGTAGGTTTCCTTGTGATTAAAACTTTAAAAAGTATTTATACGGTTTGGGATCTATGCTAAGCATAGAGCATTTACTTAGGAGTCTCAGTCGTCTTTGTTGTCTTAGATGGCTACAAAGACCAATTCTGGAACATGCAAGCTCAGGCTTAGAAAATTCTATGTGACTCCAGTTTATTTGTTTACAGTATGTCCCTGATGAATTCTGTGTATGGGCACAGTTTTAGTTGAAGAAATGTGCTTTGTCCCCAGTAATTTGGGGCAGTGGCATTATCCAATGTCCATGGGATGTTTTTTCCCATTTGCTACTGTTCCTGGGAAGGAGTGAAAGGAATAGTCTCTGTGTACAGAGTTTAATTTACATGGTTGTCATGACTCCACAGAATATGAAGAAAAGGGGATGGCATCTGTGGGGGTGAGAGGGACAGATAGATGGTTGCACCTGATGGGAGATGGGAGTAGTTTTCCTGCTGGAAGGAACTGCAGCTTGTATATAGGAATGAGGATAATCTATGCTAAAGAAAGATCACCTGAGGTAAAGAAGGTTGTCTTTGGACAAGGGGAGGAGTTTGACTCATATAGCTTCTGTGCTTGGGTTAACCTGATATTTAACTGTAGGTTATACACCTTCAGATTACTTAATCTGTGTTACTCTGTCAAGCATAAAAAAGCACTAAATTAGTAGAATTTCATTTTTTTGAGGGCTGTTTCAGATTTGGTTGTAAACTAGGGTGTTGAGTTCATGTGCTGTAGGGCAAGTATAATAAGCCACATATTTAGAAGGAGTCTATTCCATACAGAATTTAGTTAAATGTAAGGTAAGCCTTATACAATGTTTAAAAAACTTAAGCGGTATACAGCTAGGCAGGGTGAAATTTTTTATTGTACACGGAAGTTCTGCCGAACAAAACTTATGCTTTCTATCAAGAGCAGTTTACAGGTGTTAGTCATGCTCTTGAGTCAGGGTGCAGTTTCCTCATCGCCTAAAACCATGCTGACAGTGACTCTTGTTGAGAAGGCCTGATCATTCCTGGTGGCACTTGCGTTGATCCACTTACCCTGTGATTATGTGGCTTCTAGCTTGTTAGCTAAAGCCAGGGAGCATGAAGGATGTGCCAGGAGGAGGAAAGCAGTGGCGCTGAAAAGGGAAGTAAAAGGCAGCTGCTTTTGGTGGCAGCCAGGACTTCTACTAAAGCTAACAGTCTAACTTAAATTACGTTTTATTTTTAACAATTCCCAGGGTATCTAAATGTTTTAAAAAACCAGTGGTCCCCATGTATCTTGTCTTGACTCAAGTCTGCTGTGAACTCCCAAGTCAGCTAGCATAGTTAGGTAAGTTCTAATTTACCTGTCTTATACTACACCCCTGCTGTTGGCTTGAGTCATAGGCCTGTAGCAAGGAACTTCAGCAGCATTACTGACTTAACAGAGTTTTCAGGCGTCCTTTCCCTCCCTCTTTCCTTTGTGCCAGGCAAACTATTTATATGACTCTTCTAGAACTGGATTTCAGATCCATTTAAACTGATCCAATTTAAATTGTTCATTTCTAACAACATATAATCAGCAACTTTGCTTTTCCATGTTTACAACTTGGCCCTGCAATCATTTGTCCAAACAACTACAGGAAGGCAAAATGCTGCAGGAACAGGAAAGAAGGGGAATGCTTAAATGCCATTGCCATGGAAGCTGAATGATACTGGATGTGACATGGCTTGTTACAGCAGTATATTCTGGTCATCCCTTCAAAGATACAGCCCTGCAGTTTAAGAAATGGTTCCTTAAGCAGAGGGGAATAAGTAATGCAAACCTGTAGCTGCAGTGCTGGAAGAAAATGTAAGAAAACATTAATGAATCCTTATGTGCGTAGTTTGGCAAACTGCCAAACATAGAGACACTGTGGGATTATCTGATAGAGAACTCAGTGATTTGTAGTAATTTTAGCTCTAGTTTTACGATACAAAGTATTCAGCAGTAGTATTTGCTTAGAGCATTTGTGTTTTTGTGGTGGGGAAATGGAGCCTCCAGTGGATGCTTAGAATCATCCTTACCCTTAGACTCTCAATTCTTCATAGCTTACTGCATAGCAACTGATTGGCAGGTATAAAGCACTGCCTCCTGGAGCGATTATCACCTCTGATCCAGCAGATCAGAATAGCAACTAAGACGGAGGAAGCACCCACTATTATCCAGTTACAGTACATGAAGTTTCCACGGCTATTTTTGCTTCTGCTTTTGAGAGGGGGGCAGGCAGGCCGCTGCTGATCTTATGTAATACCCTTCTGGTCCCTTGAAGTGATGTTTTAGAGCTGTAGTGTGTGCATATGCTAGGATGTTTTGCTGAATAACACTTAGATGACAACTGTTGCTGTTTCAGACTCTAGTTCAGTATTGTGTTGACTAATTTGCACCAATCTTGAAGATTTCTTTTTTTGTCTTCTCTGTACAGGAAGCTGCAGGCAAGATCATGACTTGGAGTTGGCACTGATGTAGGATTTTTCTTTGTTTTTGAACAGTGTCATAGTTGATGTTTGTCTTTGAACATGTTCAAGACCTCATGGGTGTTTCTAGGCTCTCTGAGAAAACACTTTGCCTTCCATTGAAAGTAAAGTAGAATTTTCCCAATAACCATGTAATTGGAGTGTCTGAATAGTTAGCTAACTAAAAATGGGGAAACAGATGCATTTTCAGGGATTTCAAAATAGTAGAGTAAGTGAACAGCAGCAATTTCCTGAAGCAGCCTTTCATTAGAAATATTTCCTAATAAAGATTAAGTAGTAGAGTGTAAAAGTAATTCCTTCTGAAGCATTGCTAAAGAAGTGCTTGTTAAATGTTAATCTCTTCCTACTGTAAGAACTTCATGTTTTTAAACAGAAACCCGCATCTGTCCTCTCTCTTTTCCCCATAACTTCTGTAGAAGTTTTTCCCAAACTGCTGTGCACTCCATGGTACCACATCTTGTCTGTTGTTCTAGCTTGGGGTTTGTTTAGATGCTGAATGTCAAAGAAGCCAAGCCTTTATGTAAAGGTAGCAGTTGTAATTTTTGCCTGCAGTTTAACATGGCTTGCCTTCATAGGCTTTGTGCCGATTTTGATGGGAAAGAAGTTAAAAACTTAAGTAAAGTTTCCCTGAAAAAGGTGTGCCATGTATTCATGAAGTCTATGTCACTGCTGTGTGATGTTGTCCGTAAAATGGCAGCACTGCAAAACGCTGAACTTGGGTCAGTTTGGTGTAGGCATAAATAATTTCTTGTTGCTCTCTTGCCTGAGGAAATAGACTGTTTTCTTGTCCACTACACGCATAAAATAGCTTAAATTGCAGCAAGAAAATAATTTCAAAGTAGGTGTTAGGCAAATTTTCCAGTGGTGATGATAATGAAGCATTTAAATATATTGCCTGGGGGCAAATATACTTAAAAACCAAAAAGTTTCCCTCACTGGATGCCTTTAACAGATTAAGTATCTCTCAGGAATGTTACAGGTATGCTGATTGGGGGACTGGATTAAATGGAGTCCTTTCTAATTTTAGTTTGATTATGATTTTTAATTAGGTTGGGTCATGACAAAATTGGCTGAGAAAAATGTCAGTTGGGGTTGGGCTAGATAAATAGTTCTGTTGACTCAAATCAACTCTACCATTTTTCTAATTTAAAAATCTGTAATGACTCAAGCTGCAAATTTCAGAGAGTATTATTGGCTTTTTAAAATTAGTTGTAAACACAGATGTCAGCTTGAAAAGATGAATTCTAGTAACTTTAAAACACTGTGGAATTGCAGCGTGCGGCTTGTACTGTAGAGCTATTACTGCTTGGGCAAAACTAGGATCTAAGACCTATCTGAAGTCAGATAAAGAATTAACATCAAATTTTTAAATGGTGATTTTTT